TCTTGGTGTGCATGTTGGGAGATCAACGGCTGCACCTGTAAAGAGCTGCTAGTGTACAAAGAAAATTAAGATTAAGAGAGGGATCGAAAATGGTTAACCCCACAGTCCACATGTTGCAGAATCAAACATAAGAATGGAATCAATTCCAGCAGGATGCTCGTGTGTGCCGGTAGTCAGCTATTATGTCAATTATACGATGCGTGTCTTTTCCAAGAGCTTAAATAATATTTTGCTATATAGATAATGGAGAGAGGTAAAAGAGACGATGAGAGTCGAGATAATCTATCTTGTAACTGGTTATATTTTACGTTTATTTATCACATGTGACAAATATCATGAATTATTGTTCGTGAGCTTGTTGATATAATAATGTGTGGTATACTTTTTACGAACCCCATTACTCATTAATAAAAGATTTTTACAAATTCATCACATGCGACTAATGTCAGTGACTACCGTCAATGGGACGAGACTATGTATGTGTATGGATAGATTGGTAATTAAAAAACATGGTGCAGCCGGATGGAACATGATGATTGTTAATTTCTAAAAACAAAAAGTGATACAGTTTTTGTCTGGGGAATAAGAGTCTAGCTTTGCTAGATGCAGAGTAGAATGATAGTTTTTAGCAAATGGCAGTTAGTACTTAGTAGGTCACGGGTTACTGAGAGAGGCCTCGCAAGATTCATACGCAGGTCACGGGTTTGTGTTCATAAGGGATAAAAGCCACCTTTCCCCTTCACCAACCAAACAACTGATACCTCCCCAATCATTCTCTCAAATCCCACGGGAAAAATTTAGAGGATTTTCACCCGTTCTTGTTTATTTATGGTTGGTTGCTTTCTGAGTTAAGTCACAAAATGCATAAGTTATAACTTATGAGAGTTAAACTAAAGACCTTATAGTTATAACTTATAAGTGAAGAAAATACAAGTGGAACGTAATATTTATATTTAATTCATGATGTGGCATTAGGCCCTCCTAACTGTGGGTTGAGAATTTGGTCCTTCCCTCGAAATGGGCTTGGTATGTGGGCTTTCATGAACTCTATTAGGCCGATGGACTGGGGCTTTAAAATGTGAACAAAGTGTTTTTGGTTGAGATATGAGTTTGTGACTTTTGAATTATTCTAAATATTTTGGTAGAGTTGTTTGAATAGGCATAATAGGGTCAGAATACAGAAAAATTCCATATTTTTGTGAGAAATACACTGATGAAGTCCGAACTCCATAAATGAAAGATTTTATTATGTCACAATATTTTATTACGGCGTGACTCACTGAACATTAGTGCATCTTTTAGATACGTGGCAAGCCTTTATTAACAATGTTTTTTTTATATTTTATATTATTGCTTCCGGTGATGCTAATAAAATTAAATATTGATTACATGAGAGAAATTCTCCTCTACCAATTCGGCGGTGTTGCTACCATTGAAGAACTTGCAGCCAGAGAAAGTTGAGGCTCAGGCTTTGGTCTGCGGTGGAGCTCCGAAATGGTGTTATGTGAAGGCGAAAACTGGGACATTTCCGGAAGCTTTGAGGCAGTTCACCCTACTTATTTGGAGGACCAATACACAAATAAACGTTCCAAAATCATCATTCCCCGTTCGCACGCTACGCATTACCATACACAAAAATTAGCTACTCAATTTTCTGTCACCAGAACACTCGCAAAAGATTTGGTGTGGTCACGATGGTGGCGCCGCCATTCTGTACACATTCATTCTCGATGAATCAAAGGTTGTTAGTACTCAGCTCCGAGAACGTTACGCACATTGGGAACTCGATGTTTCAAGTTCAAGTTATCTTGCACCTTCTGGTTATTGTCTTTTATTTGTGGAACATCAGCAAAATCCAAGTGATCAGGGAATTTGGGTACAAATCGTTGAAAAATTACACAGCAATCATAGCCTAAGGTTAAAAAATTGTGTCAGTGAAAGGTTTGGGAATTCTCTAAACGAGTATTAGAAGAATCATGTATTTCTAACCAAAATGTGTGAAAAAATTAAAATTTCCGACCAAATTGTAATCAACCACTATTATATTCGAAAATTAATTTCCGTTCGCATATCGATGCTTAAAACCAGAAAAAATCCAATTTTATTGCATAAAGTTGATGGAGTTTAAGTAAATTAACAGAAACTCTAATCACAATTCTTAATACCTGTATATTTACATATACATCGTTAGTCTCAAACCTGATGTTCAGATGGTGATAAGGTCAATGTTGGAAGCTAACCAGCTCCTGGAGTCGAGGGGTCGAAGTCAGAAAGGGGCTCCCGAGCAAAGGGTGTTGTCTGCATCGAAGAAGAAGAAAGAAAATGAAGGGTTTTAGTCTCCAACGGCTAGTTTTTGTTTAAATGTGGATGTAAGTGTGTGAGTGACAAGTGTACACTCCAGATTAAATCACTTAACCCCCAAATGAAAGGTTAGGATGTAATCTGGAGTAGTAAGGCTTAAATGGTTGTTAAAGTCTCTTGTCAATCATTTTTTTAACAGGTATGGGTGATGGCAATACACCATACTCTTGTAAAATCTCACCTTACTTAATCAATAAGGGTTATTGCATTTTAGCACAACCAATATCCAACCTCCAAGTTCTCTCCATTCTCTGTCATTCTAATAAAAAGGAAACCGGTTCAAACAATCAATCAAAACCACAAAACAAACAAACTTTATCATGGCCTCAGAGCTTTGTTACTGATCTAAAAAAAAAAGGGAAGTCTGGGCGTAATCTGTGCAAATAGAGATTTCTGGAGCACCAACATAGTGTCTTCTACAAGAACAATAAACAAACTACCCTGAAATGAAGGGATCCAGCAGTAGCAGTGAGCTAAAAGCTCCAGTCTTTGATGGGGAGAATTATGATTTTTGGAGAATAAGAATGACAACCATTTTCAAATCCTATAATATATGGGATATGGTTCAACACGGGTATGAACTACCTGAGATGGAGATCGATGCTTTAGAGGAAGATCTCACAGAAACACAACTCAAAACACTGAAGCAGAATCGGATGAAGGATGCTATAGCACTTGGAATCATTCAAGGTGTTGTCTCAGACACCATTTTTCCAAGAATAGCAAATGAAGAGACTGCAAAGGGAGCTTGGGAAGTTTTACAGCAAGAGTACAGAGGAGACACTAAAGTTAGAAAGGTAAAACTTTAGTCCCTTAGAAGAGATTTTGAGTATAGGGAAAATGAGCTGTTAAAAGACTACTTCACTAGGATGTTTGATGTTGTAAACAAGATGAAAACATATGGTGAGGAACTGCCTAATGAAAGAATTGTCCAAAAGCTATTGATTAGTTTGACTAAACCCTAAGATTCAATAGTGAGTGTTATAGAAGAAACCAAAGACACCGAAACTCTCAGTGTGCAAGATGTGATGGCATCCTTAAAAGCTTTTGATCAAAGACTCGAGAGGCATGCTGACTCTGCACCTGAGAAAGCCTTTCAATCACTCAATGTTGGATCTAGTAGTCAAGCCAGTGCAAGCAATCAGAAACCACAGTGGAAGGGCAAGAACAAGAAATGGGAAAGAAAAGGGTATCACAACTTAAGACCTAACCAAGGCAGCAACATCAATGCAGGTCAAAGAACTAAGCAACAATGCAAGCACTGTGATAAATTCCATCTTGGGGAGTGTTGGTTCAAGGACAAGCCTATATGTCACAAATGCAACAAGTTTGGGCACATTATGAAGGACTGCAGATCAAAGAATGTGCAACAAGTGAACTGTGCAAATCAAGTGGAAGAATAAGCAAATGTGTTATGTGTTTTCAGTGCAAAAGTGGAGAGAAACAATGAAGTGTGGTAATTTGACAGTGACTGCAGCAACCACATGACTGCACATGAATCATTACTCATTGACATCGACACAAACTTCACTGGAAAAGTGAAAATGAGAGATGGAAACATTGTCAAAGCCATTAGAAGAGGAACTTTGGTTATTAACACCAAGAAAGGAAGAAGATGCACAAGGGAGGTAATGCTAGTGCCTGGATTGGACGAGAATCTACTTAGTGTGGGTCAAATGATGAAGCATGGCTATTTCCTACTCTTTGGGGGAACTGTGGTTGAGATCTATGATGACAGATCCCTATCAAACTTGGTGACCAAAGTGGAAGTGAAAAACAGAAGCTTTCCACTTGTGCTGAAGTACTTAGAATAAGTGGCAAGGAAAGCAAGTGTGACAAGTTCTATGAAGTTATGGCACAAGAGACTCGGTCATTTAAACATGACAAGCTTACAAAATCTGCAAAAGCATGAAATGGGGGATGATTTGATTGCAGCCTATACAAAATTAAAACAATTAGCAACTTATATCTTATTAACTGATTGTTTCTCAGGAAAAATCATTCAACTATCAATTTAAATTTTCTAGACATTAGAAACCCTGATGAAACGCACCTTGGTGGCGAGTTGTTTCCTCGGAGCCTTATCACTGGTGGATTTGCGAGCTGTTTGCTTTGTACGAGCCATTTCTTCACAAATGAATCGCAAAAAACGCAAAAAAAATCTGAAATAAGAGAGACGAAGAACCGATCAAAACCCAGAGATTACGAACATGAAGAAACTAGGGTTTCAAACTCAAACCTTTCGAAAGGAGAGGAACTAGGGTTTTGATCTTCACACTTTGTCAGGTAATTGAGAAGTTGGGAATGAGATGCATGAAGGGAATGAAAGAGCAGTTATTTATAGTGGGAGTGGCGGTTGATACGTGGGTTGCAAGTTTTCGACGACAACTAGGATTCGGACGGGAATATTAATTTTTAGGAACGGATCCCTTCCACCGAATCTACCCAATCTTGAAATCCGGATTCTTAAAATTTGATCAAACGACTATAAACAAGGTATCTTTTTAAAAATTATAATAATTTTAACTGTTGGATTAAATTTAAAGAGTTCGGATTTAGAAATCGGGTGGATTTGGTATAACGGATCCGGATATGATCCCTTTCCTTTAGGAAATCTTAATCCTCGTGCTTTGTCTCTGATTGGCTAATTAGTGGATTGGCAGGTGGACGAGTTGGGTTTCTTTATTATTATTTCTTTGTAGTATAATTAGTATTTTTGTGAAGAGCCGAGTTGTGTTTCTATTGTGAGAAATTGTGAACGAGTCGTGAGTAGGAAAAACTCGGCCGAGTTGTAAATCTTCTCGACCCTTCCTCTGAAAAATTGAAAGCTTTGGTGGTTCGATGGAGGCTGGCAAGAAGAAGGGCTACGCGTGGGCAGTTTCAGCCGGACTCTGTGCCGCTTCCGCCGCCCTTTCGGCGAAGATAATCAGTCCTCAGGTGCCTTTCCAATCTTCAATTTCACGAATTCAATCTTCAATTTCACGAATTTAAGACCGTTGGATTTACATCTCAAAAACCCTATAATCTCTTGATTTGATAATTTTATTTTTGTTGTCAAATCTTGATTTGATAATTGAGGTGAATACTTATTGGGGATTTTCACAGATTGTGAAGTACGGTTTCGTGGTATTATTCATCGTGGCAATGTGGGGTTGTTTTGTGCAAAGCTTAAAGAATCTCTCGGCTCTGCAAGCTACAGCGACGAACTTTGCTACCAACTTCCTCACTTCTGGTCTGGCTGGATACTTTTTGTTTCAAGAACCCTTATCCGAGAAGGTAAATTCATAGTTTTTTGTTCCACTTTGTGTTGATTGAATGCAATTTTATTCATTTATTTCGTGATTAAAATGCTCAAATTTATTAACTCTGCCAAGTTTCTTGCGTAATGTATTATACAAATGTGTGAAGCGAATGATTGGATGACACTGTTGTCATGTACGACATTGTTTACTTATTTGGAGTGAGGGAAGTCATTGCTCGGGTAAAGGAAAGGAGGAGTGAGTAGGAGATCAATTAGTCCACCGTAGTTGATATGATTCATGGTTCTCAAGTATTAGATTATGGACTTCCACATTTTTGTTTTATTTTGTATGGATTAGCAATGAAAGGGGAAGTCGAGAGTTGGAATAATTCTAAATTTCTAATACCCGTGTTGTGTTTTTAGTTAACATTGAGACGAATCAAAATGGTTCTAATACTCATACCACGGGAGTAAACACACCTAGTATTAAGTGCTTAGGCCGGAAAAGTGGTGAGAATTGCTGGACCTTCATTAGTAGGCCTCTAACTATGTGCTCACAGATCATATCATTCAGAAATTGGTTTCGATAAATAAGAAGCTGTAACAACTATTCCCTTTTCACACAAATGGTGATGGATGGATGGATGGGTGGATGGATGGATGGATGGATGGAGGAATTTTGTTCATGAAACATTCTCTCTTTGGCTCAAACTCTTCATAGCTCTACAAATGCAACTGCTTGCGCGCAATTTCTATGCGTGCATATAATTGTTCATTGTGATAACATTGAGAAAATGTGTCTTTACCTTGCTTGACTTTTGTCATTTGCGTAACGAGAATGCTTGTTTGACAGTGGTTTGCAGGCGCCCTGCTCATTGTAGTTGGTGCACTCATACTTGGTATGTCAAGTATTGGGAAGAAGGCTCGTACGGACTAAGTTTTCTGCATTTCACATTACCCGTTTGGTTGAGATATCAGATAACTTGAGATTTTGTGAGATGGGCATGTAACTAAACAGTTAAAATACCTGAGTGTTTTTTTTTTAATGTGATTTTTGCTTATTGTCATTCTTCCGACCACAAAAGTTGCACTGCTCAAATTAATTGGTTTAATGCAGATTTGTTGTTGTAGGCAATTGTAGGCATTCGTGTCAAGTGTTGCATAAACTTTTGCATTCCAGCGTGTGGAATACAACTTACCTATGCTTGATGTAGCCCAAATTTTTAATATTCTCCATTATCTCCACTCAACTAATATTGATTTCTACTACTTCTCCATTTAAACGTTGGAGAATGCTCATTAATAGAAAATAAACACGTTAATCAACATTTATAATTCAATCATCAATCATATCATTTCGTTTGCAGAATCTGGTTTAAACATTTGATCTCCGTAGCATTACCCATTTATATATGTTAGACACAGTTTTCTTCCTTTACAAAAGCCGCCTTCATTCATTTATTTGTTTGGATGGCTACATTAATCATCCTAATCTGACCTAACCTCAACCATATGGGTCATGGTCACAAAGAATCAATGAAAATTAAATTTGATATCTGATAAAATATATTTGTAAGTTCAGGAGGAAAGCTAAAATAGCTATTTGAAGAATATTTGATAGAGATATATATGTTGAGTCTCATCGAATCAATTTCAATTTCCCTTCTACTTTTGAGCATTTCTTCCTCAACTCTAATGCACTGCCGTCTAACTTGAAATTCACGTCTGGCGTGGAGGTATCGAAACGCAAAACGAAGCTGCAACGCCCTGCAATCGTTGGGGAACAAAATATGTAAAGTACCGAACTGTGATGCTTACACATGGATCATGAAGAAGATGTGTACGTACCTGCAAATCGAGCCGGTCGAAATTAAAATAGTCCTTCATGGAGTGTGAATTATATGCTATTAGATACGATTTATACGCTTCTTTTGCTGATTTGCGCAGGTAGTAGTTGTCCCCAACCGTCTGCTCCTGCAAATCAATCAAGTTATCAAACCAATACATAAAATTAAGGTTCCTTAATTTGGAATTTAGAAATAGATAACAATATTTGAACTACACTAACAAACAGGAAATTACCAGCTGAGCCTGCACTTTTCTATTCACCTTAAATACCCGAGATCGAAGGAAGATATTGGCGGCCTGAAAAAACAATGAAATATGGAATTCAAGGCGACGATATAAGTTATTGACAAGACAATAATCCATGCTTCTAATCTGGGAAGCATGGCAATCATACCTCCAAAAAGCGTATAATTCGCATCTCTTCAGGAATGAGGAAAAGGAGTTCCCTTCCTACTTCGCATTCTCCTCGAGCTCTTCGAACAACCCTGCGTAGGTATTCCTGCAAGCAGACATCCGATGAGACAACTGGATACGAAACTTAGTTGAAATGTGCTAGTAAAGAAGGGGAATTAGACACCATGAGGTCATCTGGAGGATCAAACTGCAAAATCCAGTCCTGCAAAGAAAAGGAGAAAAGAAGCATAAGTTAACACTGTAAAACTTAGAAACACAGTGATTCGTTTATTGTTACAAAAGAAAAGTTTTTGTAAGAACGTTGCCATTGTCATCTGTAATATCATTGAACAACAACAAAACTAATGAGAAACCAAAAAAATTCTTGAATGTAGCAGCGAATTGCATGAAGAAAAAGAAAATACCACTGCAGGAATATCCAGTCCACAAGCAGCAACATTAGTACAAAGTAAGAACCCTTTCTCTGCTTTGCAGAAGTCAAAAAAAGTAGTTGTCCTCTCCTGCTGCGTTTGCTTTTCATGGACACCAAAGCAATTCGCATTGAGGGATCGAAGAAGGTCAGAGTGGAATTTGACTGAGTCACAAGAACAGAAGAAGACTATCCCTTTGGTATACTGATTCTTCCCCATAAAAGAATATAGGAGAGCTATTCTTTGCGAACTAGCCACAATACAATAGTCTAGTGTGACCTATATATATCTTGTCAGTGTCAGATTCATTAGGTTAAATCGAAAGATTAATCAAGAAACAAAAAAACAAAAACACTGCATAAAAGAATGGCGTGCGGAAATCGTTTTCTCTTATTAGGGTCAGCTGGATCCCTATACCTGAGGTCTTAATCGATGTATCTTATCAATGTCATCCTTATCTTGTTCCCAATCACCTTCTCCTTTATCTTCTTTGTCGGTCTGATTAGGGATTTGAGGCTCTGAGTCTTCCGTGCCAGTTGTATTCGGTTCCGATGGCTTGCTTCCTCTCTTTCTCTTGCGATTCTTCTTCTTCTTGTCCGTCTTCGCGGCGTCCTCGGGAGATGCGTAAGCGATTGGTTCTGTCATGGCGACTGTTTCAACAGACGAGCTCTAGCAGAAACTGTGAGAATGCGTTTATGCATGGCAGTTGTGACTTAATAATAAGTAGGGTTTGGGCGTTAAATCCCCATCCAACCGCTGCGTTGCGATAACCTACTTTACTTTTTGGGCTCAAGCCCAACTATTGCAAACAACCTCAAAGCATGTGTTTGTGTACAGGAGGCTGACTTCTTCATGAATCATGTTCACAAGGCCAAAACTACTCGGTCAAGTTCTACCAAATGTTAGTAGATGTCATAGGTCACGCAATGAGAGATATGCTAATAATATAATATTACACATGCGGTTACACTCAAAGCTTTTTTTTTTCGTTGGTCATTTCATATTTCTTCATCCACAACACGAGCCCAAGTTAACAACTAAACTTGGTCGAATTTCTAGGTCAAGCCACAAATTTTTGATGAAAACGAGAGTATTGCATTCAACCAACAAAGAATATAAAAGAGCGACAAAAGAAGACTTACGTTGAATTACTAACAATGGTCAAACAGTAAATCTACTATGAAATTCAAAGCAGAATCCAACCAAGCACAGGGAGGCTCGACTGCGAGGCCATAACGGGCAAGGCGGTGGGCGAAGCTGTTAGCTTGGCAGCGGACATAAGTACAGCTAACCTCAGTGATCATTGAAAGCAAGTCTTTTGTATCCTCCACATTTTATCAATCGGAGACGAATTGGTCAAATAATCATTCAGTGCAACAATAACATAAAGCAAATCACTCTCAATGCAAAAGTAGTTGAAAACCCCTCGCCACAACAAAATCACCTATGGAGCTCCCATAGGCCGCTACAACAAAATCACCAACTACATTTCTCACAAGAAAACCCACCCCTCCATAAACCATCACCAGGGGTACGGGTTGAGGTGTGAGGGGGTCTCGAGTTGGCCGCCACACACTCCTATCACCATGGCAAACAACGGAGATTGTCAATTGCCTCCAAAGCAACTGTGTAAACTACTCTAATCTGCATGTAGTAGTGCGATAATTTTAGAAAATGATAACAAAAGTTTTGTTGGTCAGTAATAAGTAAAAATGTATTTTACTCGGTCAATGATTTTTGTTTCTAACAAGCAATATTGGAGAGAATTCAAACATAAAATTTAAAAGCAAAATTAATCGCTCTTAATGACTTAAAATAATGAATTATTTCTACTGTTTCTATTATTAGAACTTGGTTTTTATTTATTTTAATAGCTAAATAATGCCCCTTAGTACTATGATTTAGTGGTATTTCTCTACATTTGTAAGTGAGAGGTCTTAGTTCGATTATTGCCAGAGACGAATTTAAATCATATTATTCGACGAATTTGGAACTATATTATTCTAATTTGTTGTGAGGTTAAATTCACTCCTCCTCTCGTAGAATAGAATATATTTTTGTTTCAAAAAAAAATAAAATTCAGAAAGATAGTAAAAAAAGGAGGCTAAAAAACAGTAGAAGAAAAAAAAAATGTAAGATAGACAGTTGAAAACCACTAAACTCCAGTACAGTGCAGAAGTCTACGTCTTACTTTATCATGTCTTCGTCTCTCTCCTCTCACGGAGTCTGATGAGAGAGCACCCAAACAAAATAAAAAGTAAAAAATTCTCCTTCTTCTTCCTCCTGGACTATTCCCCTTACCCCCCTCATCTTCTTCCTCAATATTCAGGGTTTTACTGAACTCCCCCACTCTCTCTCCGGTAAGCTCCGATTCCCTTCCACCTCTTCTTCCATGGCGATTTCTTTTCATTTCTGCAGATTATATCTTTGGTCTCTTTTTTATCAGTTTATACTTGGAGCTTGGTTTTAGGCGGTGCTCTTCAGAGCAGCTTCGAATTAGTTTGGAATTAGTTGGTTTGTGTTTGATAATTTCGATTGCGATTGTGTTTTGGTTCTGCAAATGATGCTTGCTGTTTGTGATTGGATTGGAGATTTTGGGGTTTCTAGGGTTTTGCTTCGCTTGTGCTGGTTTAGGAAGTTAGGAACTGGTTCTTTGAACGTTGAAGCTACTGTTCGTATGAATTTGAATGTTTGATCTTAGCCTGGTTTAAAAATTGATTGGGTGCTTAAGAATCGGGAAGAAGTCTGATTTTAGCTGTTCTGTCTTGGTTAGTTTTAGTACAATCTGTGAAAAATCGTAAGGAGTTGTGTGCGTTTTGATTGGTATGCTCCGTAAATTGCATAATGTTTCCAAAAATAGAGATGAAATCAATTGAATTCCATGTCTGCCACACTAGGTTTAGTCCTTATTTTTATTGTGGATTCATGACTACCGATGAAGTTGCCGAATTTATATGTAAGGAATCGCGTTCAGGGTTCTCTTAGATTGTTCTGACTTACGTTGTAAGGAATCGCGTTTAGGGTTCTGCAATCTATAAACGAAATGTGAACATTTATCTTAAAGGGCATCCACTGCAGGATATGTAGCCTCAATGGGAGTTTGATGGTTTGCTAGCATAGTGTTTATACTAGCAGTGGAGGTGTAAAACTAGCATCTGTAGCTGTTGCTATTTACTAATCTCAGATGGATGACGGTGGCCATCGCGAAAATGGAAGGCACAAAGCAGATCAGTATAAAGCAGCTCAGGGTCAGGTATGTGGAAGCAATTTTCTGGATACAGCTACTTAAATTGAATATTATGTGAATTGGCACGTCTAAACTCTTACATGAGGTATGCGTTATATGCATATTCAATGCTTATCTGATGATATTTTGTCTCATTTTTTGTCTAGTGGTTGATGCACAATCAGCCATCAATGAAACAGATAATGGCTATAATGGGCGAAAGAGATGCAGCTATTCAAGAAAGAAATTTGGCTTTTTCTGAGAAAAAGGCTGCCCTGGCAGAGCGAGACATGGCATTCCTGCAACGAGACGCAGCAATTGCAGAACGAAATAGTGCGATAATGGAACGAGACAACGCCATTGCAACTCTTCAGTACCGGGATAACTCCTTAAACAGCGGCAATGTATCTTCATGCCCACCAGGTTGCCAAATTTCCCGCGGGGTCAAACATGTGCACCACACGCAGCAGCAGCAGCAGCATGTACATCATATGCCGCACATGAATGAACCTTCTTATGGTTCGAGGGATATGCACACGAGCGATTCCATCACAATGCCACCAGATGCTTCAGTGCCTACAAAGTCACGGCAGCCCAAACGACCAAGGGAGCCCAAGACGGTGCAACCAAATAAGAAACCTTCAAAATCTCCAAGGAAAGTGAAGAGGGAGAGCGAAGACTTAAATAAGATGACATTTGATAAATTACATGACTGGAAGGGTGGCCAGGATATGGGCAGTGGAGGTGATGATCTTAACAAACAGGTGGTTGTGTCAAAGTCTGATTGGAAACGTCAGGACCTGGGGTTGAACCAGGTTGCTTATGATGAGTCGACCATGCCGGCACCCATGTGCTCGTGCACTGGTCTCCTCAGGCAATGCTACAAGTGGGGGAATGGGGGTTGGCAATCCTCATGTTGCACAACTACAATGTCGATGTACCCATTGCCGGCAGTGCCCAACAAAAGACATGCCCGTGTAGGTGGGAGGAAGATGAGTGGGAGCGCCTTCAACAAGCTACTTAGCCGGCTTGCGGCTGAAGGCCATGATCTGTCAAACCCAGTTGATCTCAAGGACCACTGGGCCAAGCATGGAACAAATCGCTACATCACGATCAAGTAGATAAAAATTGGGTAGAGCGCAGTCAGAGTCAGGTAGGAGAAGGGAACGTAGTGATCATGTATGAATTTTATTTTCAGCTCGATGGCGGGAGGAAATAATGATCCAATAATAGACAGTTTGAAGTAGTAAGATTTGGGAATGTAGGCGTCTTCTCCAGCAATGTGGCCTTTGAAGAAAGAATAGGCCTCGGCTATTTCTTCCCAGATTTTATCAACATTAGCTGGATGGGTTGATAATGCAGTAAGAATTTCTGGAAAGCGAAGGCCGGTATGGTCATGCGAGGAAGAAGGAGGGCCATTTCGAACCAGTCTTGGCACCGAGGACTCCGATCATCCCGTGTAATAAAAGGGTTTCTAGTGTATTAATAAACCCTAATTGCCATATCTTATCCGTGTAGCTGGCCATCGTTTGTTGATACATCTCTGTTGAATCATTTCAAGCTTTAATCTGTGCATGTCCTTCTCAGTTCAATCATTTCCACTTCCAACTTTTATGAGCTTGTAGTGATTTTCGCACTCTCAGTTTTGTAAAACTAAACCAATCGTTTAATACCATGTGTTTGCGATTGGTTTAGCGCAAATCAGTTCAAGCTTCATTTCTTACAGATTGTTTTTTCGTAATTATGAAATTATATTCTATGGTTAATTCGATATTACATTGGATTTCAGGTGTATGGCATGCATCGGAAAAAATGAACCAGTATTATACGTGGATTAAAAATATTGAAGGAAAACTAAGGAAAAAAGTTTGAAACTTTGATTTTTAACAAACAAAATAAAGATAAAAGAGAATAGTATCAAGTTTGACTTTTTAGTGTAAAAATGTAATTTTTTGTTAAAATAAACAGTATCGTAAGTTTTTCGTTAAAATTTAACATTAACAATCAAGGATCCAACGGCGAAGATCTTATACTCCTATTATTCATTGGGGTTATTTCAATCGCAGCCGTCCATAATTCTTCTCCAGAGAGAAATAAAAAGCATTGGGGTTCTTTCAATCCCAGCCGTCCATTATTCTTCTCCGGAGAAAAATAAATTTTTTGGCTAAGCTGTGTCAGATAACATGTTTTCAGCATCCATAAGTCAGACAGGGATAACTGTTAATATTGTGATCTCATCATCCACAGCAATTCAATCAAACAAAACCAAAAAAAAATTAAAAAATTAAAAAAGAAAAAAATATATATATACAGAGCCTTCAGACCGTCCTAGTTCATGATATTTTCTATCAACACATTACGCAAATTATAATAATTTGCGATTCAGTCGATATAACATAGTCATCACCGGCCAAACATTCGATCAACAAAACGACGTTGAAAAAAAAACATGTTTCGTATTTCTTAAAAACCTTTGAAAAATAGAAAAATAAAGAAAAGGGAAGAAGAAGAGATAAGAGGCATCAGATCTTCCTATTCAATTAAGAATGTATCAACATGCCCGAATCGAAATCCGAGCATTCAACCATTGAAAAAGATTTCATCAACTGGCCTCGCGGATTTCTCCAACAAACACAAATTGGAAAACAAACAAGAGAGAAAATATTTAAGGAACATCGAACGCCGATAGTGAGTAAGCTCCGAAAAACATAGAAGAAATCGAAAGAGGGAAAGTTTGAGATTGAGGAAGAGAAGACGGCTAGGGTTTTACAGTTCGATTGAAAAGATAGCGCGTCGACCGGTTTATAAAAGATTTCGGGAGGTGTTTTGGGTTTGTGGGGCTTCGATCGGACGGCTGAGATTTAAGGTGTTTTTAGTAGTGGGCTTTGTGATGAAATTATATGTTTTGAGGCCTAGGGGATTGAGTGAACCCACCCTCCATATGATGATTAGGCCTCAAGATAGCAATATCACTTAGTCAAGAAGTGGGCCTGGAATACTACATCAGGCCCAAAAAATGCAATGCTATACATAATACACCTTCACTTTTACTTCGTGAGAGTGATAATTCTCTCACGCACATTTTTCTTCTCGCAAAAATTTGCATGTGAGCAAACCACTTCTTCTATCAGCGTTTTATTTCCAATGTATGTGAAGAGGAGGGTTCTCTTGTTGATACATATATTGTCAAATAGTATGTAAAATTGGCTCAATACAAGCCAGAGGACATAAAAAAAGAGTCACACATTGGCTCAAATATAAGTGGTTCACGCGTGAAGAGGGTTCGTTGAGCCTGACCTCACCCAGGATGTTGGACTTAGGTGCTTAAGTGAAGTGGGTGATAATATCAATGCACGTTCAAACTTAGTTGTAGACATTTACAAATCGCATGATACAATAATTCATATCTGAGCATTGGTTCAACCAATGGTGCACGAGTTCAAGGTTCACTTTTCTTTAACTAACATGACCAAATACAAATTTATGCTCTATTATAAATTTAGACCCATTTGCCGAAATTTCGCTTAAATTTGTCACAAAAATTTTTTCTCTACCCCTTTTAATCATAAGATGATGCGGGGAATTGGGTTTGTGCGGGGATGAGGGGAGGGGTTTTGCGGCTTGGGTGGGTAATTTGGAAAGAGTAAAGTGAGCAACCTGCCGTCGGGGGTTGTGACGGTGTTGGATTTTGAAGTAGGGTTGAATTTGATAAGGAATTTGGGTGGCTGGTGGTTGGAGGTTGGGAGTGGCTGGAGAGGGGGGTTAGAATGGATTAGATTTATCAAGATAGATAAATTGGAGGTTGGTGGTTTGTTGTTTCCTTTATTTTAATTTTAATTTTGTGGTACGTAGAGCCTCAGGTCAGATGCGAGGTGATGATGAATCGGTGCTGCATATGCTAAGATTAGCAATTGGGTTAACTTTTGTTCTGCAATTGTTGATGCAGATGCTAAGAAGGGTTTGGAGGACAAAGTAATTGGAGTTTGGAGGACAAAGTAATTGGAGTCATACCTTTACAAATCAAGAGAATGCAATAACAAATAACTTTGAATTGGTGATGGTGAATTGTATTATTTTCTGGATTTTTATAATTAGTTCATTAAGGGTTAAAGAGATAATAGTTAGACCAAAATCCAGTCTCATGGAATTGGGCATGAATAATTGAAAAACACGAGATAAAGAGCAGATTGGTGGTGACAGTTTATGGAATGATGACCAGAATCAAGTTTGGTTGTTGCCAGGGTAGGTGGTTGGGTGGGTTTACGTGTTTGTGTAATTTTTTTCAAGTATGTAAATTTTGTATTTGAGGATAAAATGGTAAGTTTGTAAGACAAAATTTCTTAGTTGGATGTGAAAAGAGGATTAATGGATTTAAATAAAATTGTCCTAACAAAATTAGGGAAATTTCGACAAGTAATCAATAAATTAATTAGTGGGGTCCGTTGTGGGTCCACTGTGGTTTTGTTTGGTTATGACTCGTGAAGTCTAATTCATAAATAAAACAAAAATATTTTGTTGATATCCTTAATTAAAGGAGAAGAAGCCGGTGATAAAGGCAGATAAAAAGAAGATCAAGAAAAAAAAGAAAAAAAAAGCGCGTCTGTTGAAAATTGTCTGATCTCTTCCCATTATGCTGCTTCCTGCTGTCGGTGGCGACATTGTATTTGTAGTCAACACTAACATTTTTGTTTTGCTGATCGAAATGCTTTGAAATCACCGCCTTTAACATTTGATCATCCATTCTGCACTTGTACTGAGAGCCAAAGCTGGCCAGCAGCCGCTGCTAGGGATTTTATGATCAGGTACTCTGCAGCCGTAATCTTATTTGATCCCATTTTTCAGATGCTCTTTGGGGTTTGATTTGATTTGCGATCTGGGTTTTTGGGTTTAGAGAATTAAAATTTTTTTTTTTATTCAGATGTGATAAAAAAGTAGGAAACTTGGATGGTTTTTCGTTTGATGAATCGAGGTTTTCTGAGCTTTTTAGCTGAGCTTTAATGGAGGGCAGTGATGAAACTGGTAGTTCCAAGCAACAGCGGCCTAATCCAACATTTGGGTCGTCGTCTTTCCTGGTTCCTAAGCCAAACAGCAATTTAGATATTCCCAATTTCAACCCCTCTCAAATGGGTTTCCGTATGAGTCCTGAGAGCAGTAAGAGACCTGGGATTCCTCCTTCGCACCCTAATAATCACAATTCGATGCCTTTTTCGAGGTCTCAATCGGGTTCTTGGCAGCTGGGTCAACAGAATTTCAGCTCAGGGTCATCCCACGCTAGGTCTATGTCTCAACCTCCCTTTTTCTCGCTTGATTCTTTGCCCCCATTGAGCCCTTTGACGTACCGCGAGCCCTCCGCTCCTTCTCTGTCTGACCAGAATTCTGTTGATGTTTCTATGGGGGAGAGTGTTGTTAACTCTCATGGGCCTTCGCTTCGTTCGCCGGTTAATGAAAGCACTGCATATCGGGCTGGAGACGGCCTTCCTCCTCGCAGAGGGCACCGGCGCTCTAACAGTGATGTTCCATTAGGATTCTCAGCTATCAATCAACCTTCGCCGCAATTGATCCCTGTTAGGCGCCGAACAAGTTTTGATGGATCGGCTTCTGCAAAGCCAATTCAGTTGATGAAACAGGGATCAAATGGGAATGCTGAGGGAGTGGACGACAGGAAATCAGGGGGAGAGGTTGTGGATGACTTGTTTAATGCATACATGAATTTGGAAAACATTGACCAAATGAACTTGTCGGGTAACGAGGACAAGGATATCGATAGCAGAGCCAGTGCCTCGAAGACAAATGGGGGTGAGAGTAGCGATAATGAAGTGGAAAGTGGTCTAAATGGGAATCGTAACGGCGCAGGCGTGCAGAGGCCAGGTTCTGGTTTTCCAAATGAGAGAAGAGAAGGACTCAAGAGGACCGCTAGCGGAGATGTTGTATCTAGTGCTCGACATTGCAGGAGTATTTCAATGGATAGTTACATGGAAAATCTGAATTTTGATGATGAACCACTGAAACCGCTAGGCCAACAATCACCCAGCACTTCACTTGATGGGAACTCAGCCAAGTTCAGCATGGAGTTTGGAAGTGGTGAGTTCAATGCAATTGAGCTGAAAAAGATAATGGAAAGTGAGAAACTTGCTGAGATAGCGCTATCAGACCCCAAACGTGCAAAGAGGTATTATGCATTTAACTTCTCTCTTGTATCTGTCTGTACTGGATGTCTTGTTTAGTGAATTTGCTCATGTTTTATGAATTTATCCAGGATTTTGGCTAACCGTCAGTCAGCTGCTCGTTCCAAGGAGAGGAAGATGCGATATATAGTAGAATTGGAACACAAGGTGCAAACTCTGCAGACAGAGGCAACCACTTTGTCTGCCCAATTCACATCATTGCAGGTAGGGTTTTTTTTGGGTGTTCTGATTCTAAAGTTTACCTCTAGCCATTTTGAAACTAACCTTCATGGTATGGTGGTCACTGACTCTGCGCTATATGTACTTGTATCCAGAGAGACTCTGTGGGTCTTACAAGCGAGAACAATGAGTTGAAATTTCGGCTTCAATCTTTGGAACAACAGGCCAAACTTAAAGATGGTATTGTGCTATTTCTTCACCTCTTTATATATCTACTGAAAATCACAGTAATCATACGTGCCATATAAACTATATGATTTTTAGTGAAAACTTGTCTACCGAAACAAATGTTTAAAGTTCCAGATGCATACATAATTATGCTATTAAGCTTCACCTCTAGGTCAATTTGATTAAAAACTCTTGTTCTTGTTACACGTAATTTTAACGGTTTAACCTTTTCCAGCTATAAGCATTATTTTCTCATGTCTTTGTTAGTCCACGGTCCACCTCCTTGACTATGGATTTTCATTTCATTTCTACCAATTACTGAAAACCTTGGAACCAGTAACTTTGCAGTTGGTTTCAGCAATCAAGTAAAAGGATAACAGTAAGATCGGGATATTCTTTGTATTCCTGGATAAAGATGCAGAACACACGTAACCAACTTAAATACTAACTGAAATAGATATCATTTTAAGACAGAATGCAGGATATGTATTCACGCAACCCCTTTGACCTAAAGTCGATATCTTGATAGAAAGACCAAATAATGCAGTGAAATTGAAATCAGCCCTGGCCCCTGGATGGGAAAGGGATTGAGCTCGATTGATCCTTGTCCACTCCCCTTTCCTGTTTCAAAAAGTTCGGTGGGTGGTAGTCAGATTTTACCTTCATGATTTTCCCGTAGTTGAATTGCCTACCGCAGAGCTTGATTAACACTCGAACCCTTTGTGTCAATATTTATATGAATATCAGGTGATGAATGTCCCCACACAAGTCGGAAAACATTAGCTTACGATCAATTCCTGCTGATGTAGATGTGATATGGACCAATAATATTATCTTCCTTTTATTTGTGTCTTTGATGCTGCAGCTTTAAATGAGGCCTTAACCGGAGAAGTCCAGCGACTAAAGCTTGCCGCTGCAGAGCTCGGTGGAGAAGGCCACCTCTCAAACCACACTCAACAGAACACGCAACCGCAGCAGTTCATGCAGCCTCAGCAAAACCGACAACCTTCGCATCGCCAGAACAGCAATGCTGCTGCCAAGCCCGAGTTGAACCAATAGGTTTGCCAACACAAACGTTGGCTTGTGTTGGTCTCTTTGGTGCCGAAATTTATTTTAAAATATGATGTCATATATTAAATCCATATGTAAGTGTCTAAATTAAATCGACGCATATATTATTATGAAGTTTATGCAACTTAAATCATTTTTTTGGATCATCGGATGCTGGTTACTGTATTGAAAATTTTCCTCGGGCCATATTCTACCCGAAATGAGCGAGCATACGAGTCGAACGACATGAATTCGAACAACATCTCCTTAATATTTAGCTTCTGCTAAGGTGCAAAAAGTGCAAAATGGTATCTTCCGTTGCGAGTTTAGGAACGAAGGTGCTTCTTGCGACTCAACCTCCACCATCTCCGGGAGAGAAAGATGCAATACTGTCTTGAGAACAAGTAGATTATGTCCTAATCTCCGTTAATCTTTCTAAATTATTATTCTTTTGGTAATCAATCGACTTACGGTAACCTTATCTTTTAATGATAATTTCCATGAATTGTTACAAAATTTATGATAGATTCATTTCCGGATTTTTTTTATTTTATATGCAAATTTATTTGAACCTGATCTACTCGAATTTTCCCCCATATATGCTCGATTATAATATTTTTTTAATAAACGATAAGGTTATCTTTATAAAAGTATTTATATTATTATTTATTTTTATAAAAGTATTTAAATTATTATTTATTTGGTTAGACAATAAATTTCGTTTGATTAGATATTAAATTAGTCATTGACATGATTTAAATTCACGTCGATATGCAAAAGCTCAATACATTTTCACATGGCAAAAGATCACTTGTCAAAAGTATTTAAATTATAAAAATGTTGATTTGGATTTGAATTTGAATGTAGAAAAAAAAAATCACACCGCTCTAATTAATTTAACTAAATTCTAATATGTCGCTTTATAAATTGTTAAAAGGGTCCACTATGGTTTTGTTTGCTTATGGCTTGTGATTCTGTCATGTATATTTTCTTCGAACGAGGATCATTTCCAGATGTTTATGAGGATTTCAAGAATCTTCTAATTATATCCGTTTATTATATATTTTACGATCAGTTTTTATCATGTATTGTTTATATTTAATTTTAAATAAAAAAATTTGTAATAATTTATTATCGATATACAATAAATGAATATGATTAAAAAATTCTCGAAATTCTCACAAAAATGATCCGAGGATCTCATTCTTTTCTTGCCTTCATTGATTTGATTAATAAAATATAAAAATGTTTGTTAATATCCGTAATTAATATAAAATACAGACACACTTGTCCCCTCGATACAAGGAGAAGAAGAAGCCGGTGATAAAGGCAGGGAAAAAATATCAAAAATATATATACATAAAGAAAAACGCGTCCTTGTGAGAAAATTGTCTGAAGTTCATCGTGGCAACATTGTATTTGTAGTCAACAAATACAATTTTATATGATCAAAACGCCGTGAAATCACCGCCTTTTGACATTTTTGATTATCTCTTGTCTTGCCATTCTGCAGTTCTACCGAGCACCAAAGCAGGCCGGTCAGCTCCAAGGGATTATATATAATGAGGTACTCTGCACCCATAATCTTTGACTAATCCCATTTTTTTATTCTCTCTTTAGGGTTCGATTCCGTTTCTTCGATTTGGGTTTTTTCGGGTTTATAGATTTTTGATAAAAAGTAGGAAACTTGGGTGGTTTTTTCGGATGAATCGAGGATTTTAGAGCTTTTTAGCTGAGCTTAAATGGAGGGCAGTGATGACACTGGTAGTGGTAGTGGTAGTGGTAGTGCCAAGCAGCAGCGGCCTAATCCAACTTTTGGGTCGTCGTCTTTCTCGATTCCTAAGCCAAACAGCAATTTAGATATTCCGAATTTCAACCCTTCTTCTCAGATGGGTCTCCCCATGCGTCAATCTTCCCCTAGTTTGAGTCCTGAGAACAGTAAGAGGCCCGGGATTCCTCCTTCGCACCCGAATAACCACAATTCGATGCCTTTTTCGAATGTCATGAGGCCTCAATCGCGTTCTTGGCAGTTGGGAACACAGAATTTGAGCCCAGGGTCATCCCACACTAGGTCTTTGTCTCAGCCTCCGGTTTTCTCGCTTGATTCCCTGCCCCCATTGAGCCCTTTGACTTACCGCGACCCCTCGGGTCCTTCTCCGTCTGACCCGAATTCAGTTGAGGTTTCCATGGAGGAGACTGTTAATTCTCAGGGACCTTCACTTCGTTCCCCAGTTGCTGATAGCAGTGCATTTTGGGCTGGAGACGGCCTTCCCCCTCGCAGAAGGCACCGGCGCTCTAACAGTGATGTTCCGTTAGGATTCTCAGCTATCATTCAATCTTCGCCTCAGTTGATTCCCATTGGGCGGCAAACAAGTTTGGATGGATCGGCTTCTGGGAGAGACAATTCAGGGATTGGAAAGCCAAATCAGCTGATGAAACAGGGATCAAATGGGAATGCAGAGGGAATGGATGAGAGGAAATCGGGGGGAGAGATTGCGGATGATTTGTTTAATGCATACATGAATTTGGAGAACATTGACAAAATGAACTCGTCCGGTAATGAGGATAAGGATTTGGATAGCAGAGCCAGTGGCTCGAAGACAAACGGGTGTGAGAGTAGTGATAATGAAGTGGAAAGTGGTCTAAAGGGGAATGGTAACGGCAGGCAGAGGCCAGGTTCTGGTTTTCCGAATGAGAGGAGGGAAGGGCTCAAGAGGACTGCTGGCGGTGATGTTGTATCTAATGTCCGACACTGTAGGAGCATTTCAATGGATAGTTATATGGAAAGTCTGAATTTCGATGATGAACCATTGAAACCCCTGCCGCTAGGCCAACAATCACCCAGCACTTCGCTTGATGGGAACTCAGCCAAGTTCAGCATGGAGTTTGGAAGTGGTGAGTTCAATGCAATTGAGTTGAAAAAGATAATGGAAAATGAGAAACTTGCTGAGATAGCACTATCAGACCCCAAACGTGCAAAGAGGTATTATGCATTTAAATTCTTTCTTGTATCTGTTTGTTTGTACTGGATGTCTTGTTTAGTGAATTTGCTCATGTTTTTTTTTTTAAATTCATCCAGGATTTTGGCTAACCGTCAGTCAGCTGCTCGTTCCAAGGAGAGGAAGATGCGATACATTCAAGAATTGGAACACAAGGTGCAAACCCTGCAGACGGAGGCAACCACTTTGTCTGCCCAGTTTACAAAATTGCAGGTATGCAATTCTATTTGAGGTTTTCTGATTCCGTAGTTACTTAACCTTCATCAAATGATCACTGACTGTATGTTATCTGCTTGTGTCCAGAGAGACTCTGTGGGTCTTACAAGTGAGAACAATGAGTTGAAATTTCGGCTTCAAGCTCTGGAACAACAGGCCCAACTGAAAGATGGTATTGTACTTTTTCTTCAGCTCTTTATATGTATATTGAATATTGCAGTTATCATATGTGCCATATAAACTATATGATTTTTAGTGAAAACTCGTCAACCAAAACAAATGTTTAAAGTTCAGGATTTATACATAAATGCATTTCTAATTTGCTTTCACATAAAGTTAGATTTGGCTAAAGACAGTTTCCTCTATTTCCTCCAAGGTTAAATGATTGATATTTGAAAACTAATATAATCGTTATACCTAAGAATATGTGGATTTGATTAACAACTCTTGTTGTTGTTGTGTTATTACATGTAAGTTTGGTGGTGTAACCTTATCTAGCTATAAGGTTTCTTTGCTCATGTCTTTGGTAATCCACCTCCTTGACTTTGGATTTTCATTTCACTTCTACCAATTCCTCAAAACCTTGGAACCGGTAACTTTTCAGTTAGTTTCAACAATCCTAACTGTGCTGTGGTATCTCGATGGGAAATAGAAAAAGTGCTGTTGTATCTGTCTGTTTGTGATTCATCCAAAAATCACTACGTCCAACATACATGTGATTTTTGGATGAATGGAAGCAAGGTATGATTTTAGGCCTCCAACGTTTGTAATTATAAATCATTCGTATCCACCTTCAATGATTTTATGTATTTACACAGCCATGTAGGCCTAAAGTCGATCTTTTGATTGGAAGAGAGAGATTGCAGAGAAATTGAACTCAGCGCTGGACCCTGGCTGAGGTGGTTGAAGGGATTGAGCTTGATCGACACTTGTCCCCTCTCCTCCCCCGTCTCAAAAACTAGATTTTAGCTCGATCGGTTTTCCGTCCATGATTTTTACCGTGGTTCAATTGCCAAACTGTGTAGGCTGATTGACACTCGGTCCATCTGTGTCGATATTTATACAAATATCAGCTGATGAATGTCCTAGCACACATGGGAAATGGACTCCCTTTATATTAGTTTACGACCAATTCCTGCTGATGAAGGTGGGATCTGGACTAATTTTGTCTTCCTTTAATTTGTGTCTCTGATGTTGCAGCTTTAAATGAAGCCTTGACTGGAGAAGTGCAGCGACTAAAGCTTGCCGCTGGAGAGCTCGGTGGAGGAGAAGGCCACCTTTCGAACCGCATGGCGCAGCAATTATCTATGAACCAGCAAATGCTTCAACTGCAGCATCTCAACCTCTATCAAATGCAACAGCAGCCACAGCACCAAGCTCAACAGAACACGCAACCGCAGCAGTTCATGCAGCAGCCTCAGCAAAATCGACCTCCGCATCACCAGAACGGCAACGCTGCCGCTAAGCCGGAGTTGAGCCAATAGGTTGGCCAACACAAACGTTGGCTTGTGTTGGTCCCTTTGGTGCCAAAATTTGTTTTGAAATATGATGTCATATATTAAATCCTTTATGTAACTGTCTAATTTAAATTGAAAATTTTCCTAGTGAAAGAGTACTGCTTTGAGATTTGTTTACTATATTTTTTGTTCGTAAATTCCACAACCACCCACTGTACTTTAATATTACGTCCAAAAACACCATCTGTGCTCCAAGAAATTAATACCCCCACGAGAAACAGACCGTAAGAAAAAGTTGCAAAAACGGTTGATATCATAAATTAATCACGAGATATGTTTGATATGTTTTCGTGTTGATGTCAAAATAACATTTTAGTTGCATTTCAATTATATAAAAATAAGACACATAACAACACGTAATAAATTAAAAATACCTTCACATCAGCATCAATGCATAAAATGACGTTTCTGTTGCAGATAAGTTTTCAAGTTGAAGATTTTAAGAAGCAAGAAGCAGCAGCAAAACAAAATGCTATTGTTATTATGTACACGGCGGGTTTTTCCTTTAAATTTTATTAATTTTCCCTTTTTTCACCTTTTCCCTTTTAAATTAATTAAGTCCCTGTTCTCGTAAACCTAACCAAATCCCTCCTTTTAATACCCTCCTTTCCCATTTGAATTAGGGTTTCAGTTCTCATCCATTTTCTTCCTCCTCCGTTGGTCCGGACCCCCAAAACCCTGTGCCGCTTCCGATCTCTTCAAACTAGCCGTTACATCCATTTCCCGCCATCTCACCTCCATCACAGCCGTTCGTTTATCCCCTTTGAAAACTAGCCGTTAATCCACCTCCTCTATAGCCTCTCCGTTTGTTTTCCAGATTAAAGCTAGGCGGTCGGCTTTGCCGGAGTTTGTCCTGCAATGTCTGCGGTCCAGGCGGATAAGAAGGTGGAGGTGGAGAAATCGGGAGAGCTTTTGTTCTGCGGAGGTACGTCTTGGGACGCCATTGGTCGGCGCAAAGGCGCCATTGAAGGTAATTTGATCTCCCCCACGCGCCTCCGCCCTCTCGTCGACATCGACATCCGATTCGTCGCCTCGGGTTGCTGTGAGTTTCGCTCTTACTGTTTGTTTCACAAATTTTTCTTTTTGTATTTATTAATTGAATTTAATTAATTGTTTGTGTTGGTGTTGGGTTTAGCTTCGTGTCATTGTGTGGCATTGGATGTGGAAGGGCGGTGTTATACCTGGGGACGCAATGAGGTGTGTTCAAATTTTAGTTTCGGATTCTTTGTTGATGCATATGGGGACTCTTAATTATATTTTATGCATAAATTTACGATTTGCAGAAGGGGCAGCTGGGCCATGGTGATACAATTCAGCGCGATAGGCCAACTGTAGTGTCGGAACTTTCGAAGTATGTTTGCGTGTTTGATGTTGGACACATTTGTTTTCTTGATGAAAATCACCTGAAATATTAGTCATTTTTATTGAATTGGAACTTTGAATCTTTGATGCTTGCTGACCCTTTTGAATTGCTTAGTGGGTCGTATTTGGAGAACTCTTCAATTTTTTAAAATTCTGTGTTTTAGGTACAGAGTTGTTAGAGCTTCATCCGGGAAGAATCACACTGTAGTCCTTACTGAGGATGGACATTCTTTCGCCTTTGGCTGGAATAAGCATGGACAGCTGGGTTCAGGTTCAGCAAAAAATGGTAGGTTCTACTCTGTCAAGTTAGTTTGATGAAATTTTAGGAGCTTGCTATGAGAATCTGATGACAAGTCATTGTATGGATGACCTAATTGAATCATGCTTAAGTTTTCGTGGTGTTCTGCTAGCTAGGGCTCATTTCAAATGTTTCTATTCCGTGTTGTCTTGGTTGCATACTTGCTAACAGCCTTTCTGGTTACACACTTGCGTTGTCCTCTGTAGAAGTTGAGGCTTCCCCCGTTCGCTGTCAAGTGTCTGAGGTTAAAAATGTTGCTTGTGGGGGTGACTTCACTGTGTGGTTATCTAGTGTTGAAGGAGCTTCTATACTGTAGGGTCTGCAGATACATTTGAGTTTTTTTTTTTTTTTTTATCTTTTCAGCCAGTTGCTTGTTTGGCTTGGTTCTCAATTTGTTATGGTTACTGATTGAATTACAAAATGTTTCTTTTTTTCCAGAACTGCCGGCCTTCCACAGTATGGGCAACTTGGGCATGGTACAGATAATGAGGTATTTTTTAGGGAAGATCGTATAGGTGTTTTCTATACATTTGTATGCACCTTAATCTTTGGATGATGAGATAAATGCTGGGATGTGCTTGCAGTATAATACTAAAGACAGCTCAGTGAAGCTTGCTTATGAAGCCCAACCACGCCCTAAAGCAATAGCCTCTCTAGCTGGGGAAATTATTGTGAAAGTTGCATGTGGAACAAATCATACAGGTTATTGCCATGCCTGCTCTCTCTCCCTCTGTGATTGAATAAGTGTATAATTCCGCTGCAATATATGTCATTATCATTTCCTTAATTAGTTTATTTGTTTTGAGAATGCAGTGGCAGTGGATGCAAATGGCTATGTTTATACGTAAGTTCTTTTATATGGCATTACCCTTGTCTTGCTTCCTTCCTAACTTTTTGATTGGCATGTTTGTCTAACTTGCAATCATATATGGTTACAGGTGGGGCTATGGTGGTTATGGAAGGTTGGTACTCACTATTCCATTAGCATTTGGATTTTTAACTTTTAAGGAACTTTAACGAAATGCTCCCGGTACTGTTTACTTTAATGAAAAACCACATTTTTACACTAAAAAGTCAATCATGGTACTATTCACTCCACCCTTTATTTTGTCCTTATCATTAAAACTCAAAGTTTTCAAGCCCTTTTCATTAGTTTTTCTCTTTTAAAGTGGATGACTTTGCTTATGGATATTTCCTGTTTTCATCAGCTTCTTTGTTGTCATTTTTGCTTTGCATATAACTCCTGGAGTGCTGTTTATATAGGCTTGGACATAGGGAGCAGAAGGATGAATGGTCTCCTCGTCGTGTTGATATCTTCCAAAGGAATAATATTCTGCCTCCTGATGCAATTATTTCAGCTGGTTCTGTAAACTCTGCATGTACTGCAGGTACCCAATTAATACGTTTCCAGGCCCCTTTCCTCACTTGTTCTTGTTTGCTTTCAGACGAGGGCTTGTGTAGTGTCTTTATTTATTTTTCTTCTTTCTGTATAGGGACTTTCTTGGTGCTATATCACATCATAATTAATGGATGACCTTTTTTCTCTCTTAAAAAAAAATCTTATATTTCACTAATCTGTTCTTCGGATCATTTTTGGTCACATGTTTGCTATTATAAGTGTGCTTTTTATGTTATTCATAGTTTCTAAAGTTCGTTAGCTCCCTCTTAACAGATATTCTGTCTATAAGAAGTGGAAAGCTTAAAAGCATTAAGCATAGCATTTATAATTTGCATAGTTATATTTTGGAAGGTCACTGCAAAAATTGATGATTGATGATTGATCTTTGTAACTGGAGTCACGTTAACATTATATTTCAAAATAATCCCTCACTTTTACAGTCTGAGATGTTCATCGTGATCATATTTTTCTCTTTTCTTTTGGTTTTCCAGGTGGAGGGCAATTGTATATGTGGGGTAAAATTAAGAATACAGGTGACGACTGGATGTATCCTAAACCACTTATGGACTTAAGGTTCAGCTCTCATCCTTGATTATCTTGAATTTGCCCTGTTCACTTTAGAAGTTTTGACTCTTCTAGGGCTAGAGCTTGCCATTTATCACTACATATATTTTTGTCTTTTGCTTGTCATTGTTTTGCAGAAATGAGCAGGGGAACTATTTTGAATTAGATTAGAAGTTGTTTCTTATCTTGTGATAATGTGTTTTATGAGGACTCATCAAAATAGCTTAGGATTTTCGGTTCTGTTTTTAGCCAAGGATGTGGCATAAATTCTTAGAAAATTTTCTCATCTTCATTGATAGTGGCTGGAATTTGCGTTGCATGGATTCAGGCAATATGCACCATTTCGTTGGTGCTGATTCCTCCTGCATAAGCTGGGGTCATGCTCAAAATGGAGAGCTGGGATATGGCCCTAATGGACAGAAGTACGTGATATCTCGTGATATTATACCTTTGTTTCTTTTGACGTCTTTTTCCTCCTCCTTGATTTTTGGCTTTATGTTTTGGCTCTTTAGGTCTTCTGCAGTTCCCAAAAAGGTGGATATCCTTGAGGGTATGCATGTTATGAGGTGAATATTTGTTTTGGTATTAGCTTGTCTACATTCCTTGCGTACCATAAGATTCAATTGTACATTCTGGCCTTAACGATGGAGGATTGTACTCTGTAGTGTTGCATGTGGACTTGGCCATTCCATGGTTATTGTTGATAGAACAACTGTTGGTGACCGACTTGATCAGGTAATTCCATATCTCTGCAAAAATCTGGTTGTTTTAAATTCCTTTGTTTAACGCATGGCTGCTCTAACTTGAAAAATACTTCGTTTTTGCAGCTTGAGGTGTATGATGGCAAAGCTTCTGTTGAAGGTATGCTGATTTTAATGGTTGCAAATGGGAAATCGTTCGTTCATCCTTAGCCAGTTGGCCTGAGGAAAGTTGGTCCAAACTAAGTGAAGCTCTAAAGTTAAACCTGGTTTGTCGGTTCTTTCCACTTTTGTTGCAGGGAGTGAGGAACCTGTGAGTGCCGCTCCAGCTTCTAAGCAAACTCCTAAAAGGGGTGCTTCAAAAGCATCTGAAAATTCCAAGAGGAAGAAGTCAAAAGAACCTTCTGATTCGGAAGATGAAGAAGACAGCGATGAGCCTGATGACGACAGTGATGGAAGCAATGATGAGGACAATGGTGAGCAAGAACCTAAAAGTCGACGAGGTGGGAAGACTTCTGGTAGTGGTAGAGGCAATGGAGCTAAAAAGGCGGCACCAGCTGAGGTAAAGCGTGGACGGGGTCGCCCTCCCGCAAATAAAAGCCCAAGTCCTGCACCAGCAAAAACTGCAACTGGTAAGAGAGGAAGACCTCGCAGGTCGTAAGTTATGCGCTTTCCCTATGGACCAGGGCCCTATCCGAAATTTTGCTCTCTCAATGTAGAGAAGTGTACTTAATTACTCCGCGGCGCTGCGCCTCATTTCGAGTTGTTTCATTGTACTATTTTTATTTTCATCTTCATCGT